CTAGTAAAGACAAACATATCGTATATAATATCAAATATGATCATACACAGACTGCAAGATGTCAACTGTTTTACTTATACATTTTTTTCTTCAATTTTAACTACAGAAACTGCTAACAAAAGCAAAAGTACTGCCCATGTTTAAACTCAAACACGTACGAGTACATACACAGCGTCAACTTATCTTATGCGGGTAAATCGTAAAGATAAATCATCAAACACGAAACATTCAACAAATTAATGTAGGTCTTTTCGGTGTAACACCGCACATCCTGACAGCACACGGTATGCTAGATTTTCTAATATTGAACCACGAATTACTCCCATTTTTTTGTGTATCAACCATATGCATATTTTATGTTGTATAACAAATTGATTGCGGTATGCGATCGGAAGGATCGTAATGTCACATAAGTACCTATGTATGTATAAGATTGTTTAAATTGTATAAATCTATGAATCTATTAAACTATGAATCTATAAATCTAAAAATCCATAAGAATCTATGAATCTCTGAATATATAAATCTATAAAACTATAAATCTGTAAAACTATAAGTCTATAAATATCTATAAATCTATAAAACTATAAATCAATAAATCTAAAAATCCATAAATCTATATGAATCTATGAATATATAAATCTATAAAACTATAAATCTATAAATATCTATAAATTCATAAATCTATTTAAATCTATGTATCTATAACTATAAATCTGTAAAACTATAAATCTATATAAATCTATGAATCCATAAATCAATAAATCTATAAAACTGTAAATCTGTAAAACTATAAGTCTATAAATATCTATAAATCCATGAATCTATAAATCAAAAAATCTATAAATCTACAAAACTATAAATCTGTAAAACTATTAATCTGTAAAACTATAAGTCTATAAATATCTATAATCTATGAATCAATAAATCTAAAAATCCATAACTCTATATGAATCTATGAATATATAAATTTATAAAACTACAAATCTATAAAACTGTAAATCTGTAAAACTATAAATCTGTAAAACTATAAATATCTATAATCTATGAATCAATAAATCTAAAAATCCATAGATCTATATGAATCTATGAATATATAAATCTATAAAACTATAAATCTATAAATATCTATAAATTCATAAATCTATATAAATCTATGTATCTATAACTATAAATCTGTAAAACTATAAATCTATATAAATCTATGAATCCATAAATCAATAAATCTATAAAACTGTAAATCTGTAAAACTATAAGTCTATAAATATCTATAAATCCATGAATCTATAAATCTACAAAACTATAAATCTGTAAAACTATTAATCTGTAAAACTATAAATCTATAAATATCTATAATCTATGAATCAATAAATCTAAAAATCCATAAATCTATGAATCTATCAAACTATAAATCTATAAATCTGTAAATCCATAAATCAATGAATCTATAAAACTATAAATCTGTAAAACTATAAATCTATGAATCTATAAATCAATAAATCTATAAAACTGTAAATCTGTAAAACAATAAATCTATAAAACCATAAATCTATAAATCCATAAATCTATATAAATCTATGAATCTATAAATCAATAAATCTAAAAATCCATAAAACTATGAATCTATAAATCTAAAAATCCATAAATCTATATAAATCTATGAATATATAAATATCTATAAATCCATAAGTCTATATAGGTAAATCTATGAATCTAAAAATCTATAAATCTATAACACTATAAATCTGTAAAACTATAAATCTATAAATATCTATAAACGTATAAATCCATAAATCAATGAATCTATAAAACTATAAATATCTATAAAACTATAAAACTGTAAATCTATAAATATTTAAAAATCCATAAATCTATATAAATTTACGAATCTATAAATCAGTAAATCTAAAAATCCATAAATCTATGAATCTATCAAACTATGAATCTATAAATCTATGAATCTATAAATCTAAAAATCCAAATATCTATATAAATCTATGAATATATAAATCTATAAATATCTATAAATCCATAAGTCTATATAAATCTATGAATCTAATAAATCTATAAATCCATAAATCTATAAATCTAAAAATCCATAAGAATCTAGGAATCTCTGAATATATAAAAATATGAAACTATAAATATATAAATATCTATAAATCTATAAATCAATAAATCTATAAATCTAAAAATCCATAAAAATCTATGAATATATAAATATCTATAAATCCATAAGTCTATATAAATCTATGAATCTAAAAATCTATAAATCAATAAATCTAAAAATCCATAAATCTATGAATCTATCAAACTATGAATATATAAATCCATAAGTCTATCTATGAATCTAAAAATCTATAAATATCTATAAATGTATAAATCCATAAATCAATGAATCTATAATCTATAAGTCTATAACTATAAATCTATAACTCTATAAATCTATAAATCTATAAATCTATAAATCTATAAATCTATAAATCTATAAATCTATAAATCTATAAATCTATAAATCTATAAATCTATAAATCTATAAATCTATAAATCTAAAATCTATAAATCTATAAATCTATTAAATCTATAGAATCTATAAATCTATAAATCTATAAATCTATAAATCTATAAATCTATAAATCTATAAATCTATAAATCTATAAATCTATAAATCTATAAATCTATAAATCTATAAATCTATAAATCTATAAACTTATAAATCTATATAAAGCTATGAATCTATAAATCAATAAATCTAAAAATCCATAAATCTATATAAATCTATGAATCTATCAAACTATGAACCTATAAATCTATAAATCAATAAATCTAAAAATCCATAAATCTATATAAATCTGTAAATATCTATAAGTCCATAAATCTATATAAATCTATGAATCTAAAAATCTATAAAACTATAAATTGGTAAAACTATAAATATCTATAAATGTATAAATCCATAAATCAATGAATCTATGAATCTATAAATATATAAATCTATAAACCTATAAATCTATCAATCCAACCCCCCCCCCCCAACTGTTTGAAAACTTGTTATGGCTAAAGGGGATTGTGTTCCCTTGGCCCCTTCCAAATATATTGTTGTTTTCAACCTCTTGTCGACTTATTTAAGTCTACACACCGGGAAACGAATAAACACAAAGTTTGTGTACTTTATAAAAGGCTTTATCTGGTTGTTTTGCGATAAGGAGCGTTATGGAATGTTCAATCTCGGTATGAGATTTTAATTATAAGTTATTGCCTATCATGTACAGAAGCGAGGTGAGGCGGCGCAGCTTATAGGCCATTATCAAGCTTATGGGCTAACACGTATAACAGTGAGATGTCATTTTTACAGGTCGAACGGTTCACATAAAGCCAACGATCGACTTTTGTTGTTGATAAAATGAAATGCCAGAGGTTAAATTCAATTTGAGAAAGAACCTTGAACTGCTCTAAGTGTATATAAAACCGCTCTCTTTTGGTTAGGGAGCATTTCTTGCTCCCCAGACCCCAGAACGGTTTGTTCTATGCGACTTAAAAGCGGTCGTTATTCTATAGGCCCGTTTGAAAACTTGTTATGGCTAAAGGGGATTGTGTTCCCTTGGCCCCTTCCAAATATATTGTTGTTTTCAACCTCTTGTCGACTTATTTAAGTCTACACACCGGGAAACGAATAAACACAAAGTTTGTGTACTTTATAAAAGGCTTTATCTGGTTGTTTTGCGATAAGGAGCGTTATGGAATGTTCAATCTCGGTATGAGATTTTAATTATAAGTTATTGCCTATCATGTACAGAAGCGAGGTGAGGCGGCGCAGCTTATAGGCCATTATCAAGCTTATGGGCTAACACGTATAACAGTGAGATGTCATTTTTACAGGTCGAACGGTTCACATAAAGCCAACGATCGACTTTTGTTGTTGATAAAATGAAATGCCAGAGGTTAAATTCAATTTGAGAAAGAACCTTGAACTGCTCTAAGTGTATATAAAACCGCTCTCTTTTGGTTAGGGAGCATTTCTTGCTCCCCAGACCCCAGAACGGTTTGTTCATGCGACTTAAAAGCGGTCGTTTTCATAGGCCCGAGAATAATCAGAATGTAACCAGACAATCTTTCAAGAAAGATTTGTGAACGTGGAAGAAGTATTGATTTGTTTCATCGCAAAATTTCAAATGCATAGTCTGGCAATTTTAAAAAAATAGCTTTGGTTTCCAATATGACATCTCTCTCCCCTCCCCTCCCGCTGCACATATCTAACAATATTAATGTCATTGCAATAACCTTTTTCTCATTTTGAACGGCATTGCACCACAAAACAAGGACCTTGGTGCAAAATCCAAGATGGCGGAATCTCTTTTTTGACACGTGATTTCAATTTGCTTTTATAGCATCTTCCGCTGAAATTTCGATACACTTCTATAAAAAAAAGCATATTCAGTTAAGCTTTCAGAAAAAAAGTGGCCCACAAATACGAAATGGGTGCTGCGCATGCGCACTTCATTTTTTAAGTAGTGTCCTCCATTAGACCTTTGGCATTTATTTAACAATCAAATTCCAAAAAAGCACTGCTTACTTGACGAGTGCACCAGAAAGAATGTATGTCAATCTATCATTAATTAATTTCCAATTGTTTTCCGGTGCTCTCTTGTTTTCGGAACCGGAGTATAATGGCAATAAGGCATGCAATCATTTTCGGTTCGTCTTTTCTTAAACCGGAAATCTAAAATGGCGCTGCAATTATACCGTGCAGATTGCATGCGGCGTAAATGGAAACCTACCTACCTACACAAAATAATGCGATCTATGGGGAAGGCTAGAATAAAACAAAGACGTTTCCCACGTTACTCGTATACTCGTGGGTAGTACAGAAAGTGATTACGTATAAATAACAAACATTTCAGGTGCGTACCCCCTCAAAAACCGAAATAAGCACATTGCATGATGCAACTAGGAAGCGAACCGTTATCGATCAGTCAAATAAACGAATAAATTACACCCACCTTGAAATTCGGCAAGAGTTGTCATAGAAATTGTAACAAATTCTTCGATGGGCACAAAGAACTTTAGTTTTTAGGACGAGGAAAAAAAAACAAACGGACCGAGTTTGTGCGGCGAACTGGCAGACACTACGACTACTTGGCTTCGGTTTCGGTAGCTTTAGAATCAGCTGACCGAGATGGGTGCGTGTCCGCTACTAGGACGATGGAACTGGGCCGTTTCGTACCAATTTTATAGGGGGCTTCGACTTTTAAAGTGGGACAGTCGTGTCAAATGCGGAGGGCGTTTTTGTTCAATAGTAAATTAACCGGAAACCGCAAAGGCAATACTAACAAAGTTGTACCTAATTCCACACTTGAACCAGTTTTGCTTTCATTTAATGTTAATTCCATGCGCATACATTTATTCCGCATACTTGAATTTGTTTCTAAGGATTATCTTCTGTGAATTGTTAAAATTGTGGTCTGGTTTCTTGCGAGCGGAATCTATGGCGGATTTTCTAAGGCCTATTGAGAGCCCTAGGTCACAACATCAGTATATTCGAAGCGCAAGTTTACGAAAGTTGTCTTTATCAATACACAACCATAACGCTCGTGGATCCTAATTAAATTGTGTAGTGAGGTCAAGACAGTGTAGGAATCTCCAACCTAACAGTCCACAGACAACCAGTAAGTCGCTAGATCCATTGATACTTAACGCAATTTTCAAGACAGCGCAGAGACTGACAGCGACTTGATTTTTGGGTGTCGATTTTTGTGTCTATTTTCTTCTTAAGCCGCATCGAAATACACAAAAAACAGCTGAAAGCGTAAAGTAGAACCATTAACTTTCTTATATATGAGGTATGTAAAATTGTACATAGGTATATTTATTTATTTATTTATGCAGTTGTTCTCTACTACTCCGGTATTTACCTAACGAATTAGGAAAACTGCAGGAAAACCTAATTCGAAGCACCCGGCAGAATGCTCGAAATTGGTCTAAGGAAATTTATATGTCACCAAAGAACGAGAGTTACCTTTTATTTCTTTTGGGGTTCAAGTTCCATACATGATTTACGTAAGATACCAATTCTTGTTCAAGGTGCAAGTTTTGTCCACAGTTACCTGTGGATGCCGACGCCCATAGCTGTTAACAGCAATACCTAAGGAAGGGGATGTTTTGTTAGAACCTCGCTTGGAATTGGTCTAAGACCTTTCCATCCCCTTCAACGGGCGCGAGCTGAAGGAGGAGTGCTGGGAAGATACCCTTTGCACCAGTCGGTCGCCTTAAAGGGTGTAAAGGCAATTCTGGAATGAGGCCTTACCTAGTCTTCTGCCTCTATGTCCCATAGAGAAGCCTTTACTTACGAGTGCTAATGAGGAGCCCTCTGGCTCTTGACGGTAACTATGGCGAATAGCTCACTGTCATACTTGCCGCACTTCTGCTCCGCTGGGGGCAGTTTTAAACAAAAAATGCTAAGGGTTTCCATTATCCGTCCACGTCAGCAGTGACGGCTCGTGAGACTCCCTTCTTGTACGAGTAGTTGGGCCTTCCTCGACGGCTTCCTCTGCCTCTTGTTGTTCCTTGTTCCTTGTTAAGCCTTCAACACTTTTGTGGTCACTTTTCAAGGACAACTTTTGATAATTTTTCTAATCGTTTTCGGGTACAATACAGTAACAAGAAATTTGGGAGGCATGGAATACCTTTCAGGCAAAGAAAATTCGATAAAAATGATTCCAAATGTCTATAAGGCTTGGAGGGAGGTGGGGTCTGGGGGAGACCTAGAAACTTTTCAGGCAAAAAAAGTTCTATAGCCCTCCCTAAAAATGCTACCTAACAAACAAGCTAATAAAAGCTTAAGAATTTTGGAGGGAATACAGCACCGGTGGGTCTGGGGGGTATGAAATAGTCCACTTTAAAAAAACGATGGAAGGTTAGAGAATTCTGGAAGGGTGTATGACACCGGAGGGTTTGGGGGGTATAGAATACCCCCCCCCCTCTCAATCATAGGTATTTTTCCAGGACAGAGAAGTTTTTGAAGGGGTCATAGCACCGGTGGCTCGGGGGGGGGGGGGGGGTATAGAAATACCTTCCAGAAAAGAGAAGCTTTCGGAACCTTAGTGATAATTCTGGAGGGAGATTTCATTCCTAGGATGTATTTATCTGGGGGGTATTCTATACCTCCCAGACACCCACCTCCCGGTGCTATACTTTCCACCAACATTTTTAAACCTTTAGCACTTTTGTTATCAATTTTTCGAGAGGGCTTTTGAACTTTCTTTGCCTGAAAGGTATTCCATGTTTCCCAAATTCCCGGTTACTGTGTTGTCCCCCAAAACGTTTAAATTTGGAACAATAATAAAAAATTGATGGTCCTTCTTGCAAAATGATCACAAAGGAGTCGAAGGGGAGAGAAGGGCCTTAAAGCACAGGGTGTGGGGGGTATGCAATACATCATAGGAAAGAAATGTGCTGTGAATCTCCCTCCAGAAATGGTCTTTAGGTTTCCGAAAGCTTCTCTTCCCTGAAACGTATAAGTACCTTTTTCTTAATAGGGGTTTGAAAAACCTTTTCTAGCTTCCCCCGCTTGCGCTGGGCCATATTGGGGGGGAAGGGGGGGGGGCACATAAGGTTTACCCACTACGACCCTATCCTCTGATCCTCTCTATACATTAAGGTAGGGGAGGTCGGGGGCCCACCGAAGTCTACGTTCCAGGAAAGAGAAGCTTTTGGAGCTCTCAGGATGTATTTACCCGTGAGGGAGGAGGGAGGGGGTTATTCCATACCACCCAGACTACCCGGCGCTATAATCTCATCCAAAATCGTAAACGCTGCTTCACTTTTGTGATCATTTTTCAAGGAGGGTCAACTTTTTAATGTTTTCTAAGCGTTTTGGGGGAGACCACAGTTATAGGGATTTAGGCAACACGCAAAACATTTCAGGTAAAGAGAGTTCGGCAGCCCACTTTAAAAAATGTTGAAGGCTTAAGAGTTTTGGAGTGGAGTATAGCACCGGGGGGTCTGGGGGGTATGAAATGGTTCAATTTAAAAAATGATAACAAAAACGTGGAAGGTTTAGGAATTCTGGAAGGGTGTATTGCACCGGGGGGTTTGGGGGTATGGAATACCCCCCAGTCACAGATATACTTTCTAGGACAGAGAAGCTTTTTGAAGGTGGGGGGGGGGGTATTCCATACCTCCTAGACCTCCCTACACTCTCCACCAACATTTTTAAGCCTTTAGCACTCTTGTTATCATTTTTTAGGGAGGGTTTTGGAACTTTCTTTGCCTGAAAGGTATTCCATGTCTCCCAAATTCCCTGTTACTTGATAAAAAATTGATGGTCATTTTTATAAAATGATAAAGGTGTCGAAGAGGGGAGGGAGGCGTATAGCACCGTGGGTATTGGGGGGGGGGGTTATGCAATACCTCTCCAGGTGTAAATATATCATACGAAAGAAATGCTCTTGAATCTCACCTCCAGATTTGTCTTTAAGATTCCGAAAGCTTCTCTTTCCTGGAACGTGTACCTTTTTTTAAATAGAGGTTTGGAAAATCTTTTACAGCTCCCCTCTATACTTTAAGGTAGGTAGGGGACGTCGAAGGCCCACCGAAGTCTACGCTCCAGGAAAGAGAAGCTTTTGAACAATATTCTGTTTGGAGGGAGGTATAGCACCGTGGGATCTGGGGGATATGGACTCCTTTTTTTAAATTATTCTTGTAAAGGTTTTGTCGGGGCTAACACGATAACGGGGGATTTGAAAGACATGGAATACCTTTCAGCCAAAAAATAATTTTGAACAACACCGGGGGTCTGGTGGATAAGAAATATCTTCTAGTCAGAGGTATACGTTCCAGGAAGGAGAAGCTTTCCTGGAATTTATTTACCAGGGGATGTATTCCAGACCTCCCAGACTCCCCTCCGGTGCTACACTTTCCACCAACATTTTTAAGCCTTTAGCACTTTGGTTATCATTTTTAGGGAGGGCTTTTGAATTTTCTTTGCCTGAGAGGTATTCCATGTCTCCCAAATTCCCTGTTAATGGATGGTTCTTCTTATAAAATGATCACAATGGTGTCGAAGGGGAGGAGAAAAGCGTATAGCACCGGGGGTCTGGGGGGTATGCAATACCTCTCCAGGTAAATACATCATAGGAAAGAAATGTTCTGTGAATCTCCCTTCAGAATTGTCCTTAAGATTCTGATTTCCTGGAACGTACACCTTTTTTTAAATAGAGGTTTGGAAAACCTCTTATATCTTGGGAGGGGGGGTGCACCCCCCGATCACAGGTATACTTTCCAGGACAGAGAAGCTTTCGAAACGGGAATGAGAATTCTGGAGGGAGATTCACAGAATATTTCCTTCCTGGAATGTATTTACCCGGGGGGGGGGGGGGGAGGGGGGTTCTGGGACATTACAGTAACGGTTTGGGAGACATGGAATACCTTTCAGGCAAAGAAGGTTCAATAACGCTCTCTAAAAATCATTCCAAATGTATATAAGGCTTGGTGGGAGGTATAGCACCGTGGAGTCTGGGGGATATGGACTCGGGGGGGGGGGGGGGTGCTATACTCCCATCCAAAATTGTAATTGCTTCAGCACATTTGTGATCATTTTGAAGGAAGGTTTTGGAGGAGACCACAGTTATAGGGAATTTGGGCAACATGTAATTTTTCTAAACCTTTTGGGAGGAAATACAGTAACAAGGAAATTAGGCGACAATGAATACTTCTCAGGCAAAGAATGTATTGCCCTCCCTAAGAAATTCTAAAAAAATGAAGGCGTAAGAATTTTGGAGGGGAATATAGCACCTGGGAGGCTGGAGGGTATGGAATCCCCTCCAGCCACAGGTGCACATTCGGAACCTTAACAACAAGTTTGGAGGGAAAGTTTTCTAAACCTTTTTGCGGTACAACACAGTACGGAAGTACGACACACCCCCGCAGGAATACATTTCAGAGAAACACGGACTTTTTCAACTCCTAATGGCAATTTGAGAGGGAGTTTTACTGGAAATATTTTTCCTGGGACGTATTTATCTTGAAGATATTCCCAGGTTCTGTAAGTGCCGAAACTAGAGATCGCCGAGTTCTTCATGTTCTAGTAATTATTGCCGAATTTTTCACTTCTGTCTGACGTTCAATCTTCAGACCAACTCCCTCTTTATT